TTGGACAAATTACATCAAAGACGGGAGCGTACGATGGCACATCACTACACCACCACGTGTACCACCAAACTACTTAGTTCAAGTGTTGCATGCAATCGTCCCGACGAGAAGGACATTTTAAAATATTCCTCACTTTGTTTCTGCTGCACACAACCTAATCGATGGAGCATTTTGGCAACTCTTCAGAGAATCTTTTATTCGCGTACCGCTGTTCACTGGTTGACACGCACACTCTACTTGTTCTGCTAACTTAGATTTACAAATGTCTAATGCTAAGACAACTCGAGTCTGTAGGTCCTCACTCACGAAAACATCCAAACCGAGGCAGCCTAACACCTCCGTGATGTTTGTAAAACCGATGCAGTCCATGTAGCGCACGTCAATAGGCACATTAGCATTGAAGTCGCCCCTAGTACTCCATACCACGGGTGCTGTGGTCAACTGTCGTTTCCTATAAACACTTGCCTATCCATTGTTAAGTATCACCCCAAAATGTAAGGCTACGTCCACGATGGGTCTGACCCACATGATCATAACGTTGCTACCGCAATGCCCTAGCAAACCCAAACATCAAAAAAAGGTTCTTTGACCATTTTTAGCAAGTCATATTCTTGTGATCGACACTGGCTTCCAATAAACAACGGTGAACACAATGAACTTTGTGTTTATCAAGCATGGGTAGATTAGAAGTAGGTGAAGAGGAGAGTGCAGGCAGTCAACGAAGGGCAGTGACAAAGCCCACACAAACTCGCCCACCCACGTCTTGTGAGTGTGCCAGCACGATGGCGTAGACAACTGTCGGGCGTGCCCGAGACGGTGACTCGCGTGGAATGCTTCCAACACCATCCTGGAGCTGTGAGGTGGCTACCGCAGACACGAGACATGGACATTCCCAAGTTGAGAGCAGAAAAAACACGTTGAATGGAGCTGATTGAACCTGAAAAACCACAAAACACAAGTTACGACTTGAATCGTGGCAGTGAACGTAGTTTCCGATTGCTGAAGAATCGGGGTGATGCAAAGCTGTTGTACTTCCGGAATTCACCAATGGGTTATGCAACTACACTATCGCGCTTTATCCAGAGTTGGAGTACAAAAAGGAACCTCCGCGGACAACCACCGTCCAATCCAGCCTGCAATTCGCATGTCCACTGAATGCAATGCGCTTCGATTTCATGACTACACAGAGATACAGGCATTGGATTGCAAGGTTATACAGAGTCCCATTCACGCTACAACTGCTGCTGCTGCTGTTTCTATTCCCAATGCATAGGAGGCGAACAAAATGATGCATGGTGGTCGTCCAACTAACAGCCACGCAATTCCAGGTATTAACTTGCCCTGTTTGCATTTTGTGCATCTTCATTCACGTACCTTTTCACATCGTAGCAGCGTTAGCGCCTTGCGGCTGCGTCGACAGACTTCCTTATGGTAGTCCTCGAACCTCACCGACCACACATCACCAGTTACGCCTAGTGGTGATGGCGAATTTGGCTGCTCTTGGATCGCCTGAAAAGAGACTGCAATTGATTCGGCGAATCCGAAGAACAGACCCACCCCGTTGGAGGCGCCGTCTTGGGTAGGCGGGTCTGCCTGATGCCCGTTGTTTGAGGCGTCTATGAAGAGGTGAGGGAAGCCTCTATGGGCATCTTTGTGCTGTGAGGAAAGCAAGTTGCCCGGGAACGTTAAAACCTTCTCCTGAGTTCTTGTGTGTCAACTCAACAAATGCTGCAACCGCATGGCCCATGAAAGCAGACGCTGTCGTTGCCAGGGGCGGAGGTAGAGGTGGCGGCGTCATCGTCGTCGTCGATTGTTCTTTTGGCAGTGGTTCCTGTTGACTTTCGCCTGAACCTGTGCTCCAACCAAGGTTTCGCGAGTCCAATTCTGTCGCATCGTCGGTGCAGCGGTCGAAATACCTATCATCCAAACTTCACAACTAGATCTGTTTTTTCCACTTAACAAGCATCTGCCATCGACTGTGCAGTCTACCACATGGACTAGTACTTCTTCTAAATTTTCCTACAAACTGGGGTGTTCGAACAAGAGATTTCCCAGAACTGGCTTCACCCTCATGCACTCACGCCTACTCTGGGTCTCTTCGTGAGAACATTTAATTCAGTTGATTGCGGACGAAATGTTCCGAGTCGAATCTGGTTGTAGCACAATGTTAACAGGTCAACCGGTATGCACAGGCCTGCGTGATCAAGTGCCACTCTGCAAGTCTACACAATCCCATTCGACTCGGACTCAAACGACCCCCACTAGGCCCCACACCAACTGCCACATATCGCCACGTCAACAACCCCACTTAACTCGGACATCGAACAACTGTCGACTCTCCTTCATTCTACCTGTCTGCAAACGGTGCAACGTGACTACCTTTGTGAAGAAAACTACCAACATGCATTCGAGACAAGCTGAAGTGGCAAAGTTACACTAGCGCATACCGTTATTCCTCTTCACGGTGTCCTCACAGTAAAATGACTGTCACGGTGCTGCTGGGGCCCGTCTCGATGCGTCGTCGTCCAACAACTTTCTGTCGACGGCTTCCTCGAATGACCAGTGCCAATCTGGTTCGATGCGGGCACTCACCACACACACAGCGGGCTCTGGCGAATCCGCGAGGTCACGCGTGGAGGGCCGTTGAGGTGGAACACTCGGTGAACAGCCTTGGCATCACCTCCGCCTCCACC